TGCAGAGCTTCATGAAGCAGAGCTCTGCCCAGAACCTTTCCTCTGAGGGATCATTGAATGTCACACTGATCACCAGCCTGGCCTCAGTCTTGCTTGGGTTCAGCTTCATCCAGCTGTTCTTCATGCATGAACTGATCTCATCCAAGCATGGGGCCATCTTGGTGGCACTTGTGTGGTCATATGTGGTGAAGGGTAGGTAAAGCTGTGTGTCATCTGTAAATTGCTGGTACTTGAGTCCATGTTGTCTGACTAGTTCATCTGGTGGCAGTCTGTAGATGTTGAAAAGAACCAGAGGGAGAGAACTGATCTCAGTGGGACTCTTCAAGTGAAGGGTCTAGTGGTGGAGGCATAGTTTCCATCAATTCTTTTTAGGTGTGTCCCTTCCAGAAGGACTCAAACCATTCTAGTGCATTCCCTTGGACTCCTGCAACTTCTCTTAGGTGAGGCAGCATTGTCTCATGTTAGACAGTGCCAAATACTTCAGAGAGATTTAGGAGGATGAGAATGGGTTGACTGCAAGGGATCATCATCCATCAGTGCCACTAAAAGCTATTTCCATCCCATAGCCTGGCCTGAATCCAGATTGTGCCAGGGCTAGAACATTAGCTTCAATTAGTTGAGCTTTTCGGCCTTTGACTAGCTTTCTGTGAGCTTGCTCAGGAACAGAAGCTTTAATATGGGGTGGTAGTCGGCCTCTGCCCCAAAGAGCTGACAGTCTAGATAGATAAGACCAGGGGTTCTCAAACTGGGGGTCGGGACCCCTCAGGGGGTTATGAGGCTATTACATGGGGGGTCATGAGTTGTCAGCCTCCACCCCAAATCCCGATTTGCCTCCAGCATTTATAATGGTGTTAAATATATAAAGTGTGTTTTTAATTTATAAGGGGGTCGCACTCAGAAGCTTGCTATGTGAAAGGGGTCGCCAGTAAAAAAAGTTTGAGAACCACTGGATAAGACAGAAAAAGGATGGGACTAGAAACAGAGATGCAAAGAGATAACAGGCACCATATATGAAGTTCAAATCATGATGCAAGTTTTTCCATTGTTCAAACATCTAGTTTGGTCCCCATTTTGATTTTTTTTTAAAAAAGAGATAATAAAATAAGATGACAAACCTTTAGAACAGCAAAAGAGGAAAAAAAAGAACTGGAGACAACAGTACATTAAAGAGATTATTTGAACCAGCTTTTAAAGATACATATTGCCTAAGGCTTTGTTTTTGTGTTTATGTTCAGTGGTTGATGCACAATCTGCCAAATGTAAAACAATAGGCACTTCCAAATTCAACGTAAGAGGTTTTCCTCATTCAAGAAAACATAATTATCATAATATTGGATTATATCTCCTCTACCACAGGATTACACTTCAAATACATAGTTCCTAAAAACATCATCAACAGCAGCAAGTAATGACTGGAGATAAACTAAACTCACAATAATCAACATATAACAAATACATTCACAATTTTATGAGAATTAAGAACCATATTTTCAGAATAGTCACAGCCTTACTATTAATTTACACCTGGAATTTTGCATGCATGTGATGTTGGGGTACAACTTTGGATCATGGTTTTGCATATTGCAAAATGTTTGGATTTGAAAGTGGATCTAACCATTCAACTTATTTGTAAATAACATTTTGCAACTGAAAATCTGAGTTCTACAGCCTCCAGTCATTTGCTCACAGAAAATTGAGGGAGCTAGCAAGTAAAAAATTGTTTTATTGATGTAGAAGCCACGCTATTTGGGAATCCTTTCTCCATCATGGATCAGTATAGAACCCTGTAATGAACACATATTAAAGTACTTTCAAATTGACTGATTGGAAAAGTTGACTAATTAATATCATTGACCCAAACTATACTCTTTAACGTACCCTGCAACAGAACGTACTCTGCCCCCACCTTTCCCCCCCCCCCTCAAATAAAAGGACACAAACTGCAAATCAAAAATAATCATAATTTCTTTGAACCTTTTTTTCCCATTAATACAATGATCATATAAGATGGAACCAAGGTGACTAAAATTCAGAGGAGGATATTCTAAAATATACCTTTTAGAGAAAAGAGTAAGTTTTTTAACAAATCAATGCAAATTTTTTTTCAGATAGCATTCCAGAAATGATAGTTTTCACAAAAGTCATGTTAAGAGCAGAAAAAAAAAATACCTTGCAACATTAAACGTAGCATTTCTGACATTTTAAATAAAAAATATAATAACTGAAAATACTGAAAAGTCAAAATGGTGATGATTATTTTATTTGTTTATGTTTATAGAAAGGCTAAGGTCAACACCTAGCTGCATGTTCTAGGAACCTACTATAAATCCCCTGTCCCTTCAGACAATTCTCTCCAATTTTCATATGTTTGGGCGAAAAATAATCCTGGCTTAATGTCCTGAAGGTCAATAGAATTTAGGCCAAAATCTTCTAACTTGTCCATTCATGTGGATCCTTACTGGAGATTAATCAGGCTCCACACAGGTATAGGAGTTCTCCTGCACAGAACAGCTTGCAGGATTGGGGCCTTAGTTTTCCTGTGTGTAGGATGCATCTGTTCTGTTCTCAGATGCACTCTTTGTCACCACTTATGCACGTGCTTAACTTTACGTACAATTAGTCCTACTGTTCCATGTGCGGCTATTCAGGTGCATGAAGTTAAACACATGGGTAAGTGTTTGCAGAATGACCAGATTACATCCTCTCTTTTCTGGTACAGTAGAGACATACAAATTTTTCCAATCTATCTTTTGTTTTAAAGAAATATAGTTGTGTTGGCAACTGGAATTAAATGTATTAATTTCACTTGGATGGTGATACATGAGCAGAGTATTTGTGATTTTTAGCTTTGTTTTGGAACTAAAACTTACAAAGTATAATAGCTAGAAAATGTTAGGGTATAAACATAAATGGAGTAGTGGAGAGATGATTTGTTTTAAGGATTTCTTCCACTTAAGAAAAAGTGGCCAGTTATTAACTTTGCTTCATTTTGCTCATAGAAAACCCTCACAGCTAAAATGACAAAGCTGGCATTCTGGTTTTCAGATGTACAGTTTTGTTTTCTCATGGATGGCACAACGCAGCCCCAGAAGATGCTGAGTGCCTTCTATTATTATTGAAGTAAACAAAATCTTTGCAGAATGTGCTCAGCACCACGCAAGATTGCTCCATCAGAAAGGGCCCATTCTTTTTATCCTTTGCTGGGCTCTCGTCTCTTCATTTGGACTAATGCGTAGAGTTAAGCATGTGTATAAATGCTGGCAGGATCAAAACTGGGGGAGGGGTGCTTGGCTCTGAAGAGAATACAGCATGGAGCATTTTTGCAAAAGCACTAAGACTGAGAATCGCCAGTTATATCAGGTCCCTACTCAGAATCCCGAGGAGTCATATGAAAAGCCTGTCTCCTCATGCTGATTCCTGACCTTCTGTTCTGCATGGCAACAAGCTTCATTGCCATTAGTTTCCCCAATATGGCTATGGCAATGAAGGTCTCTGGGTCACAAAAGGGGAAGATATTGTCAATAGGGCCAGCAATAACTTTCACATTAGTTTCTACCCAAATATCCATGGAATCCTGACAGGATGCTACAATATCTAGCAGCTATTCTCAGTTTGTTCTCCTTGGGACCAACACTTCCCATTATCCACAGAGCAGTAACCCTGCAGGCATTCATACTGAAGGGCATCCTCTGTCTTAGAGGGATGGGGAAGCATGGGATATAAACCATTGCTCCTTTCCATTGTGGTATTTGGGCCCCTTCTGCTCCTTTGCTCCCCTTCATGCCACACTGCAATGAGAAACTTCTGGATCATTATTTTTAAAACAATACTTGGTAAAAACACAGTTAAAACTTTTTTTCAGCTCTCCCCAACATATTTGAAGTGATGACTCATGTTTAGTTACCTAATTGGCCAATAACTGTATAGAATCTTAATGACGCACAGAAGCGACAAAGAATGTCTCATATTACTTCTGTGCAATAGCTGTCATTCTGGATATATTGAGAGACAAAGGGATATTTATGGTTTAGTTTGCCAAATACATTTCCAATGTGCATAATACCGTAATAATTAAATAACCTACTATATATAGAGTAGTGCCAACTATGTTTATGCCATATAAATTAAAGATATGCTAAATTTTCTTCTAAATAGCCCAAAAAAATTCTTGCTACTTTTATTGCTAATATTAAACATTAAGAAAAGATTTTAATGAGATTCAGTTCAGTTTACTATGATCAATATATATTTACTGTTTTTTGCTTTCTTCCTTCTAAAATGCATGAATAGCATTCCACACGACAAAACAGTTATCTAGCTGCATTCGGTTATTTTTAATTCTGCCATCTTGATTGATGAAACCTAGTTAACACCAGATCTGTCAGGAAATATGCCCTAATATTTCACATTTAGAATTTACACTTTTAAGAATATTTATTTTTAAGACATGAACTATAACTAAGGTAGCTCTGGGAAAAACCACTAGAGACAAAACCAGCAGAGGTATAAATGATATTCCTACCTAAAGGTTTGCTTCAGAGAATTAGTACCAAGGAAAAAAGCCTAGTCTTAAATGCCCTTCCTGTTGGCAAATGAGGTTAAAAAAAGAAAAGAAAAGAAAATCATTCACACTTCTAGTTTTCCTATTTTATGGCCATTAAAAAAAATGCAAACGAAACCATGCAACAATTTATAATTGAATGTAAAAAATCAGGTTTAGCATATCATTCTGACTTTTTATAGACAGAAATATAATACACATGCAGATTTTGTTTTAGATTTGTCAAAGTTTGATAAATGTAGTTGGCACACAGTCTACCGCTTATTGTGATTTTTTTTTTATCACCTCCAGTTTTATTCTTGATATCGTAAACGTAGACTGCTCCACTGCAGGATACTGACATTCAGTTTAACCAGTTACAGAAAATGTCTTGATTTTTCAAATCAGCTTTATTTATTTATCTAAACACAAAGTATAAAAGATTCCAAGACTGCCTTACCTATATGAAGAGAAGGTGGAAATCACAGACATTACCTTGCTAAAAACTTTGGCCACAAAAAAAACCAAAAACCCCCCAAAAATCACTCAGTCCCAGTTAGTTTCTGATAGCATAAAAGTTCAGATTTCGTTGCTGAGATCACTGCTCTATTCTAAGCAGTTATGCTCAATGTGTGATTCTAACAAAAACACCCTCTGCAGCTGGAGGGAGCCTTAACTAAGCAGAATTCTGTCAAGCTTTTCCCAGTGACTTCTGTCTACTAAATTCAGACTGATGTTTTGTGAAAGGGGCCTCAACAACCAGGCCCAGATTGCCTGAAAAGTATTTCCTGCCTTTGAATAGTATGCATATGTGAAAGAAGGACTGCATGGGGGGGCAGGGGGTAGGGAAATAAAAAGACGACAAGACTGAACATTTCAAGTCATTTGAGTTAGCCAACTACTGAGACAACTCTGTCAAACTATTAAAAGATTTATGATGCACTTAGAGAATTTAGAAGTATTTTCCATTTCACAATGGTTTATAAAAAATATTTTCTATAACTGAAACATACGTATGTGACTCCACAATTGTCCCTAAACTTAGGAGAACATCTTTGAATGTTTCAGATCTTTGGGATTCAGAGCAAGAAATGGGCAAAAAGCAGGCTGGCTTTTACAAAGCTTCTAGTGCAATTTTGACTGTTAAAACCACAGAATTACATAGATAAAAATCTATACATGTAAACTGCAAACACATTTCTACCAATTAAATTAGCTTGAATCACGAGAAATGAATGACTGTCAATAAAGTTCAAAAGTAGTTATAGCACAAGCAATGGCATATTCCGCTTTACCTCTACTGGGAATCCTCCAGAGTCACACAAATCCAGCTCTGCAAAAGCACAAGGACAGACTCCATCTTGATCATATTAGAATTTTGCTGACATAAAACACTTGTAACTATTTCTTTCCAGTTTGACAGGGTGCCTGAATCACATCTCTAGAGAAACCCACAGCATCTACAGCCTTCGTTCTATACAAATTTTGTGAAACTATCATCTGTTTATCTTTCCTGCTTTCTTCTGCGTCCTCTGAATGATTTCCTCTTAGTTGCTCCAGCCTGGGAACTTGGATTACCATTTGGTTTTGATTAAAACCAGACAGACAGCTCTGTAGAAGTTTGAGAGCAAGCTAATGGAAATCACTAGTATGGCTTTAATTAATGTATCAATTAATAATAAATGTTAACTATTCGTATAACAAATGCTACACGCACACACAGACACACACACAGACACACACACACACACACACACAAATAGTGCTCCAAGACCGCAAGGGTAATTTTTATGTGAAATAGTGCAAAATTTCCCACACCTTTCTGCCATATATTTTAACCTGGTAACAAGAATCATAGAGAGATGCCGCCCTTATAGGATGCCAACAGCAGGATAGAGCCAAGTTAAGTGGTTTCCTTTTGTTTAGTAAAAAAGAAAGAAGTGTCGCTGCTGACTTTAATTATCTTTTTATGCAGAGGCCACACAGTTTGCCTTTGTTGATTCATTTATGGTCTATTCAAATCTATTTTATAGTTATTTCTTAGATTAAATGAGTAGTACTATTACTGATAAGATTAACTGGAACTTTGGGTCTTTTTTTGTGAAGCTAAGCAAGGAGATAGAGGAGGAAACATGGCAATAACTTCAAAGTTACATCGTGAAACTTAATACATCATAAAATGTAGTGCCTGAACAATTAGGGTAACTTGCCTTCTTAGCTCTTATCTTGTGGACCTCCCAACATTTAGAGTAAGATATTTATTCACAGGGTGATGGGCAGCCTTTGCACTGAATCGTTTCTCCATGAGAATTAAAGGTCTATAGAACTTCTGCACTGGTGAGGGTGAATCTCCAACAGCATGTTGGTTTGGCCAGAGGTGGTGGATCAAATAGGTAAGGTTGAACTCAGCTACCAGTTAATATGGACACATCAGGAACTAGTTTATTGCATCTTATATTCTCAGCACATGGAAGACTTTGGGCTAAATTTTAAAAATGTGATCTTCATTTATGCGCATGTAATTTTATATGTGGATTTTCTAGTCCCAAAATTCTGATATTAGGGTTTAAAATTGGTCTAGCAAAGTTACTCATGCAGAAATGGGGTTGAGGACCCTTCTAAAGTATGTTGCTGTCAATGGATGAGTCAAGAGCAATGTACAACCCTAAATGGAATAACTAATCAGCCTTCTCAGGTACCCAAAGATAGATGTCTTAGAAGTATATACAATAAAAAATAATACACAGATGTGTAACCAATAGGGAATGATCTTGTGGCACATAGTTTTAGCTACCTTAATCTAAACTGGTGATCCAAATGGAAACTTGTAGCTCTAAATCACAGGGTATTGTGGTCATACACAGCCTTTTTTGAAGGAGTTTCAGTCTATAATTCAAACAATGGCTCAAAATGAGCCAAACAGATCTATGCAGAGACTAGAATCTTTGTGTTAAATTCCATGATTTTGAGACTTCTTTCATTATGAATCCAAAGGAAGACAAGGAATTAAGACATTTCTCTTGAAATAAAATTTCTGAAAAAAAAAAATTTGTTTCAATTTTATTAGAGCATAAGCTTTCGTGCGCTACAACCCACTTCTTCGGATACATCCCACGAAAGCCCACGAAAGCTTATGCTCTAATAAATTTGTTAGTCTCTAAGGTGCCACAAGTACTCCTGTTCTTTTTGCGGATACAGACTAACACGGCTGCTACTCTGAAACCTGTTTCAATTTTGATTTTTTTCTCCTTATAATTGTGATAGGTTATACTTCTCTGATGCCCCCTTGAAGTGAGAAAAGGCACCTCTCTTGACTCAGATATCCTTCCTTGGATGATGAGGCTACTTTAGATCAGAGACAGAGTTTGGGGTACAGCTCTCTGGCTATACTTCTTATGAACTCTGCTCCCTTTCAGGGCTGTAAAATAGTCCAGAATGAAGAAAAGGCAAAATATTTCCACATCACACAAAGAGAACCAGGTCTCTGTGGCCTCATGCAGGGTAAAGGTCAATAGTCCCTGGAAGCAGATCTGGGCTCCTTATTTCCTGTGTGTCCAAACAATGAAGGCTGAGATCCAGAGCTCAAAAAAAGTCCTTTACTTCTTCAAATGGCCCGGTTGACTGGTGCTTTCAGGCAGTTTCCCCAGCGAACAGCCCCTGTTCTCTGCGGCTAGGAAGCTCTATCTCTGCTTGCTCCAGAGTGCTCCCAGACTAGGCCAGGATTCTTCGTTTTAAGGGCCTGCCCTTCTCCAGGCTCAGAGGTGTTGCAAGTTGGGATTGATTGTGCCCAGAGGAGTTCCTTAACCCCTCCTTGATTTATGCGGGGAGCCCCCCCCAGTAATATAAGAAATTTGAAACTGAAAAGCAAATTTTGAAATGAAAAATCAAAATGTTCTGTTCCAAATATATATATATATATATTATATAAAGAAACAGAACTTTTCAACGTTAACATCTTTCCTCCCCACCGCACAGTTTTTTTCTGAAACAAAATTTCATGAAAATCAACCCATTCCCGAGGAAAGTTCTGGTTTCAAAGAAACTGCATTTTCCAACAGATAAATGTTCCAATGGAATATTTTGAACCTGCTTTAGAGACAAACACACGGTAGAATTTTGTTTCTCACTGTTTACTGTACTGTTTTGTACTGGTTTGTATCTTTATATTTTAAACTTATGGACCAGGACTATAGCATGTTTACTTATTGTTCAATGCTGTGTACCTATATGTATACACACTATAAAATAACAAGAAGAAAGGAGACAACATGATAATTTTTGTGGTAATTCTGAGGCAAAAGCAAATGTGTAGAAATATATTTTAACCACAACACGTCTTGGTTCCACAGTACCTCGACGAAATACCAAAAAACAAAAATTGGTAACACATTCATAACATTGCAAATGCAAAGTGTTCTGGCTGTACATGGGTATACCATTTTTAACAGTGATAAATTTAATCCTGCTTCAGTACCTTTCAGAATTCCACCCTACTACTCAGCCAAGAAGTCAAACTCAAAAGTTAAGAAGCACTCCTGAGCCATAATATAATATAACGTGTATCAAAAAATAGTTGGCAAAAGGCATTTTTTCCCCAAACCTGGCTCTTAGACTTAAAATTGAGTTATTCAAGGTTTTAGCTCCCTGACTCTAATGGTAAGGTAAGGTAAGCTCCCTGACTCTAATGATGAGCACATGGAAAAATCCTCATATACACCACTTATAACACTTAGACAACATTGTTAACCTACCTGCTCTACTGTTGACCTGCAAAGAGAAGAAAAAGGTTGCAAAAATTTGATAGATAAAAAGTATGTTTTCATCAACTATACTGTGAAATCTGCTGGAAGACCAATTTGAACAAACATGATGTGCAAAATAACTATCGGTGTAGCTTTTTGAAATGTTCTAGTTGGTTTCACAGACAGCTGCAGTGGCACAGGAGCCAACAAACAGAGCTGTAAACAGAGGAGTTTGAGTGGGAGTTCTGTTAGAGGAGAAGGCATTTGTAGAGGCTGGTAGGGGCAGTGTGCTGGGAGAGAAGCTGAGCCCTGATTAAGGGGCGGGGCTTCTCCAATTAGGGGTCCTATAAAGGTAGCCAGCCAATCAGGCAGTGGCACAGACAGCTGCAGCGATACAGGAGCCAGCAAACAGAGCTGTAAACAGGGGAGTTTTAGGGGGAAGACTAGGAGAACCAGGCAGAGGAACAGACAGGCTAGTGAAGGGAGTGTGTGGTGTTCTGTTGCTCATTGGGGGTTTGTGTTGCTGTGGATGGTGGTGTTTTGGTTTGGTTTGGTTTGTGTTTCCTGGACTAACAGGACTTAGGTGGGAAGGATATGACAGATACAGAGGCAGCAGTGCTAGTGATCCAAGCAGTGGAAGACACAATGAAGATGACTGGATGTGGAAGCTGTAGTATGTACATGATCCTGGAGGGGGTACCTGAAAAGAGTTTTGTCTGCATGAAGTGTCACCTGATAGAGCTGATGGAAGAAAAGATCTGAGGATTGGAGATGCAGGTGGAAACTCTGGTTGAGTTTAGAAGGGGGTTTGAGCAGATCATGGAGCAAAGACATGAGGAGGCTGAAGGGAAAACCTCAGACTTGCCGA